CTCAATCTCAGCACTGCAAAAGAAAATTATTTTACTTTCTTAGTTACTACTTGTTTTTTTATTTTTGCTTTTTTTTTGGGGGGGGGGCGGTGCTTTTGAGACAGTGTTCTTATGCAGTCCAGGGTGGTCTTGAACTCAGTGGTCCTCCTACTTCCACCTCCCAAGTACTAGGATTACAGAAATGTGCCACCATGCTTAGCTACTTAGTAAATTATTAATATACTAAATAAGCATTTAAGGGGCCAGGGAGATGGCTCAGTGGAATAAGCGCTTAAGCCCCTGACAAGTTCAAGGGCCTGAGTTCAATCCCTCGTTCCGCCAAAATAAATAAATAAATAATAATAATAAGCATTTTAAAAAAAATTACACTTGATTAACAAAACTAATTATAAAAATAACATCTCCCTGCACGCCTGTAACCCCAACACTCAGGAGGCAGAGTTTGGAGGATCACCGCAAGTTCAAGGTCAGCTTGGGCTACACAGTGAGTCCAAGACCAGCCTGAACTACATAGTGAGAACCTGTCTCAATAAAAACCCCACATGAGGCTGGGGAGATAGCTCAGTAGAATAAGGTCCTGAGTTCAATTCCTGGTACCACAAAAAATAATAATAATAATTTACATATATATTTTCCCCAGGAGTAATGCTATCATTAACCCAATTTATATTGTATCAAGTTAGTAACAAGAAATAAGCCCTTCCGCAAAAATAAAAATTTTAAATATTAACACTGAAAGTTATATTTCTTTTTCTTTTCTCTTTCATTTCAAACTGAATGTTAAGAACTGGTATTTCACTCAATTTTTTGTTTCAATTACAGACTAAAAACTATAATAGTAATTTCCTGTATTTTTTTTGGCGGAACCGGAGATTGAACTCAGGCCCTTGGGCTTGCCAGGGAAGCACTTACTCCACTGAGCCATCTCCACAGCCCCTGTAATTTCCTAACCACCTATATCCACACTGTCAGGGACGAGCCTTTCCTATCTTAGGTTTATTTTGAGTGCATCTATATAATGAAATTTTATGTCTGTTGAAGTTTATGAAAAATGTGGGTTTACACTTTTTCTTAATTTATTTTTTCTATCAATTCTTACTGCTTTTACAAAAGTATTAATCTCTATCAGATTTAAAACTTTAAATTATAAATAGTAATCGGAGGCGGCGACCTAGCGCAGCGGTCTCCGCGCCAGGCTCTGGAGCGCGAGGTCGCCGGTTCGTTGCCCCGTCCCGACTCTTTCTATTTGGGGCTGGTGAGATGGCTCAGTGGTCTAAAGC